CCTGTTGGTGTAGTAGTTGGCACCGCTGGTGTAGTGGTTTCTGGTGGTATAGTAGTTGATACCGGTGGTGTAGCTGTCTGTTGGTGTAGTAGTTGGCACCGCTGGTGTAGTGGTTTCTGGTGGTATAGTAGTTGATACCGGTGTGTAGCTGTACCTGTTGGTGTAGTAGTTGCTGGTGTACTGGTTTCTGGTGGTATAGTAGTTGATACCGGTGGTGTAGCTGTACCTGTTGGTGTAGTAGTTGGCACCGCTGGTGTAGTGGTTTCTGGTGGTATAGTAGTTGATACCGGTGGTGTAGCTGTGCCTGTTGGTGTAGTAGTTGCACCGCTGGTGTACTGGTTTCTGGTGGTATAGTAGTTGATACCGGTGGTGTAGCTGTGCCTGTTGGTGTAGTAGTTGGCACCGCTGGTGTAGTGGTTTCTGGTGGTATAGTAGTTGATACCGGTGGTGTAGCTGTGCCTGTTGGTGTAGTAGTTGGCACCGCTGGTGTACTGGTTTCTGGTGGTATAGTAGTTGATACCGGTGGTGTACCTGTTGGTGTAGTAGTTGGCACCGCTGGTGTAGTGGTTTCTGGGTATAGTAGTTGATACCGGTGGTGTAGCTGTCCTGTTGGTGTAGTAGTTGGCACCGCTGGTGTACTGGTTTCTGGTGGTATAGTAGTTGATACCGGTGGTGTAGCTGTGCCTGTTGGTGTAGTAGTGACACCGCTGGTGTACTGGTTTCTGGTGGTATAGTAGTTGATACCGGTGGTGTAGCTGTACCTGTTGGTGTAGTAGTTGGCACCGCTGGTGTACTGGTTTCTGGTGGTATAGTAGTTGATACCGGTGGTGTAGCTGTGCCTGTTGGTGTAGTAGTTGGCACCGCTGGTGTACTGGTTTCTGGTGGTATAGTAGTTGATACCGGTGGTGTAGCTGTGCCTGTTGGTGTAGTAGTTGGCACCTGCTGGTGTAGTGGTTTCTGGTGGTATAGTAGTTGATACCGGTGGTGTAGCTGTGCCTGTTGGTGTAGTAGTTGCACCGCTGGTGTACTGGTTTCTGGTGGTATAGTAGTTGATACCGGTGGTGTAGCTGTACCTGTTGGTGTAGTAGGTGCACCGCTGGTGTACTGGTTTCTGGTGGTATAGTAGTTGATACCGGTGGTGTAGCTGTTGCCTGTTGGTAGTAGTTGGCACCGCTGGTGTACTGGTTTCTGGTGGTATAGTAGTTGATACCGGTGGTGTAGCTGTGCCTGTTGGTGTAGTAGTTGGCACCGCTGGTGTATCTGGTGGTATAGTAGTTGATACCGGTGGTGTAGCTGTACCTGTTGGTGTAGTAGTTGGCACCGCTGGTGTACTGGTTTCTGGTGGTATAGTAGTTGATACCGGTGGTGTAGCTGTACCTGTTGGTGTAGTAGTTGCCCGCTGGTGTACTGGTTTCTGGTGGTATAGTAGTTGATACCGGTGGTGTAGCTGTACCTGTTGGTGTAGTAGTTGACACCGCTGGTGTACTGGTTTCTGGTGGTATAGTAGTTGATACCGGTGGTGTAGCTGTACCTGTTGGTGTAGTAGTTGGCACCGCCTGGTGGTATAGTAGTTGATACCGTGTAGCCTGTTGGTGTGTAGGCTGGTGTACAGTGTAGTACCGCTGGTGTACTGGTTTCTGGTGGTATAGTAGTTGATACCGGTGGTGTAGCTGTACCTGTTGGTGTAGTAGTTGATGCCACTGGTGTAGTTGTCTCTGGTGGAGTAGTTGACACCGACGGTGTAGTTGTACCTATTGGTGTTGTTGATACTGCTGGTGTAGTCGTCTTTGATGTAGTTGTTGACACCGATGGTGAACTCGTGCCTATAAGTGTTGTTGATACCGCTGGTGTAGTCGTTTCTGGTGGAGTAGTAGATGACACCGCTGGTGTAGTCGTTTTTGATGATGTGGTTTCTGTTGGTGTAGTAGTTGATACCAGTGGTGCAGTCGTTTCTGGTGTAGTTGGCACCAGTTGTGTAGTTGTTTCTGGCAGAGTAGTAGTTGACACCGATGGTAAGGTTGTGCCTGTTGGTGTAGTAGTTGACACCGATGGTGTACTTGTGCCTGTTGGTGTAGTTGACACTGCTGGTGTAGTCGTCCTTGATGGTGTAGTTGACACCCCTGGTGTAGTAGCTGGCACCCCTGGTGTAGTAGTTGGCACCCCTGGTGTAGTAGTTGGCACCCCTGGTGTAGTAGTTGGCACCAGTATTGTAGTTGTTTCTGGTGTAGTTGACACCGATGTAGTTGTGCCTGTCGGTGTAGTTGACACTGCCGTTGTAGTCGTCTTTAATGGTGTTGTAGTTGACACCCCAGGTGTAGTAGTTGACACCGGTATTGTAGTTGTTTCTGGTGTAGTTGACACCGATGGTGTACTTGTGCCTGTTGGTGTAGTTGACACTGCTGGTGTAGTCGTCTTTGATGGTGTTGTAGTTGACACCCCAGGTGTAGTAGTTGGCACCAGTATTGTAGTTGTTTCTGGTGGTGTAGTAGTTGACACCGATGGTGTAATTGTACCTGCTGAAGTAGTAATTGGCTGTGACAGAGTAGTTTCTGGTGTTGAAGTAGCTGGCACTGATGGTGTAGTTGTACTTATTGGTGTAATATTTGGCACTGATGGTGCATCTATTACTGGAGACGTTTAGTTGTTGTCGTATTTGTTCTGTTGTTGTTGATGAAGTGATTTTGATGAAGTGGTACCTATTGGTTTCCATTGGCGTACAGTGGTTCACAACTTTTTAATATGATACCTTTTCTCATTTTTAAGAAATCACGACGCTTCCTTAATGATATAATCTTTGAATCAGATTATGCTATGCCATTTCTATATTTTACATAGACCTAGCATTTGATGAAAAGGCAATCCTTGAATAGTGACAATGACTAATCCAGAAAATAGCACACACTGTGGGTAGGCCCTTGGTGGAGCGAAAATTTTGTGAAAGAAAGGAGACCAAATTGTGTAGATTTGATTTGTATTTATAGAGGTTTATGATATGCGGAAGGGTCGATCATACACTGTCTCCTTCATGCCTCTCTCCATCGCTGCTGAGGAGAGGGGTGTGGAGGACGGTGGTTCTCTGCCCAAAACCGACCAAGTTTCAAATATATGTGTATATTTTTTTCGAGTCTCCTTTTGTCTTTGTTTTTGTTATCAAATACTTTCCTCCTATCTCCCCTGTAGACGCTTCACGCTCCCCTGGTTTGGAACCACTGTACTTCAATGTGTATACTGGTGTAGATGCTTCTATTAGTGTAGCATTTGTTTCTGAAGTGTAGGTTATTTTGGAGAAGTAGTTGGTATTGAAACGGAGTCACCCGTATCATTGACCAGAAACCTAGAATACTCATCGTAAGCACGTAACTGGCAAATCTCTCTCTCTCTCTCTCTCTCTCTCTCTCTCTCTCTCTCTATATATATATATATATATATATATATATATATATATATGTGTGTATGTGTGTGTGTGTGTGTGTGTGTGTGTGTGTGTGTGTGTGTGTGTGTGTGTGTGTGTGTGTGTGTGTGTGTGTGTGTGTGTGTGTGTGTGTGTGTGTGTGTGTGTGTGTGTGTGTGTGTGTGTGTGTGTATATGTATGTATACATACATATATATATATATATATATATATATATATATATATATATATATATATATATATGTATGTATTTATGTATTACACACACACGTCTATCCATCTATCTATCCATATTTACATACATACTTAGATACAGTAAATATATGCAATGAAAAACACAATACCGTGTTGATAATGTGGAAGAAAAACCCACAATGCACACTTTCCTCAATAAATCTAGTTTGTGCATTGTGAGTTTTTCTTCCACAGTATATATATTATATATATATATATATATATATATATATATATATATATATATATATATATATATATATATATATATTATATATATATATGCATAAACATTAATGGGCAAATTACAACTATGTACAACACATGCACACTTGTTACTTATGCCATGCTCGCTATCAGTACTATCAGATCGTTTTCCACACATTTCTCCTGGAAATATATATATATGTATTCACAATTATAGCCAGGTATTCATATTTATAGAAGAATATATCCATACTTGTTGGAGGCTCTGTTGTCGTCTCGTTCTGGTGGAAGAAAGAATTGAAAACAATTATATTCTAGAGATAATATGATAGAAAAAATACTTCCAAAATCATTTGATTCTACATATTAATCCAATTTGCTGAAATTAGCTGATTCATTATGTTCAGTAAAATCTACATAAAACCCAGTAAAAAAATTAACCAAATTTTCTTTTTTCCTGCTATGGAATACTGGTTGCTATTATCACTACATATCTTTTAGACATAAACTATTACGTTCATTCACATAATTGTGGATAAACAAATCAGGAGGTACACAGAGAACTTTTCGTTTGAATATTCAGTGTAGTGTTATTCTTCAACGAAATATAATACTAGTTTCTACTCAGTGACTAACTTGTAAAGACACTGGCCATTGGATTGATAGATAGAAAATTAACTAAGCTTAAAAGCCCATAATCCATACTTACTGTTTTAAATGTAACAAAGCCCCATGAACTATTGAAAAAAAAGTAAAAAAAAAAACACAGAATAAAAGAGACAACTTTCGGAGCCTCTCGCAAGAAGCCAGTCGAGATCACTCCATCTTGGGAAGGAGTATCGAGTCGGAGCTGCAAAGACTATACTGAAGCGCCTCCATCAACTTACGCAGTCTTCCTCAATCACTCTCGCGATTATGACGTCTTTTATTGTGCGTCGGAAGGGCGGGACGGCGTCCAGCATGTTGATGTAATCCATGGTGGGGTCCGGCTCTGCATTTCTACGGGATCGCCTTGGCTTTGTTATGTTTGTCTCCCTGTAAAGCATGGCCAGGAATTTTCTGAGGGTTTTTAGGAAAAAAAAACAGCTGTCGTCCTTATAAAATCACACAAGATGAAGATGAAAGATATATATATATATATTATATATATATATATATATATATATATATATATATATATATGTGTGTGTGTGTGTGTGTGTGTGTGTGTGTGTGTGTGTGTGTGTGTGTGTGTGTGTGTGTGTGTTGTGTGTGTGTATATATGTATATATGATATATGTATATATGTATATATATATATATATATATATATATATATATATATATATATATATATATATATATTATATATATATATATTTTTTTTTTTTTTTTTTTTGTGTGTGTGTGTGTGTGTGTGTGTGTGTGTGTGTGTGTGTGTGTGTGTGTGTGTGTGTGTGTGTGTGTGTGTGTGTGTGTGTGTGTGTTTATTTATTCATTCATCCTTACAAAAATTCGAAGAATTAAGGTTATAATACTTAATAAATCTCCCTTGATGTACGTAATATGTCCAGATCTTGATAGTGATTAGTTCCATATATTCAGGCAAATATTTCTATAGAGGGACATGTATCCTAAATTGTCTACATATCGGCTTTCCTTCCCATGTTTTAAAGCTTTAGCTAAAATAATTTTTACTTAGGTTAAGCTGATTAAAAGAGACAAGCTTCAAAGCAAGAGTCTGTCGTATATGTCATATCACATCAAACAATAATTGTAGTATGGCTACACTTTTATACTTTGATGCAGAATTTTCGTATAGTACCTGTAAATGATTGTATTAATACTAAAAGAATTCCATTTGTTTATGCCTTTGGGAAGATTCTTTTTTTCTGAAACGGTTCATGCATATTTCTTCATTACATCTTTCAGTTTGTGCATCTGTTTATGACAGTACCTTAAACGTGACAAGCGTAATAATGACAAATATGGTCATTCCTACGTTTGTATTTTGTCCCAACCTAAGGAAAACAAAACATATAAATATCCGAAATTTGAAAAAAGAAGGAACTTTTTAAAGCTTCTCGAATATCCAAGTTTCGCCTCAAGAATTTGAAATTATGTGTGGAAGCAATGTATTGGGTAATTTTCAATCTCTGCGGAACCTTTTGGAAAGGATTTGCCTTTAAGATCTGTGAATTTCATACTGAGTGAAATTTTACTTTAATGAATTATTTTCCAAGGATTAAAACGCTCTTAGGATGATTTTCAATAAGCATTAAAACATATACGGTGTGTGTATGTGTTTGTTTGTTTGTTTGTTTGTGTGTGAGTGAGTGTGTGTGTGTGTGTGTGTGTGGTGTGTGTGTGTGTGTGTGTGTGTGTGTGTGTGTGTGTGTGTGTGTGTGTGTGTGTGTGTGTGTGTGTGTGTGTGTGTGTGTGTAAATGAGAATCTTTAACGTAAGCTATAAACCAACAAAGGGCAACATGTCTCAACATGGAAATGACGGTCGTGAGAAAATGCAAGTCATATACTTCCGGTTGTGATGCTGTGATGCCGTACTTACTTTTCCTGAAAATGCTGTGATAGGTGGAACGCCACGTCATCTGCTACATTAGACGCCTGAAACGACTCTCTTTTTAAGCAGTGGCAGTTACCATGGTCCGCAAAAGTCTGACTGATCTGTGAAAAAAAAGGAAAACAAATAAAACGAAATGGGAAAATATATGAACAGGAATATTTAGTAATAACAATGATAATGATAAACCATGGACACTTTTAATACGTATTTATAAACGTGTGCGAATGCGAGTTTGCCACAGCTAATTTCATACCTGGACGATTGGGCTCGCAGGTTCATCGTTAAAGGTCCTGATTAGTACAACGATAATGAGGTTGCCATCGTCGTCGATTAGAGGCAGAATAATCAAGAGCCCTTCGCTGATATGGACATCTGGCTGGTACGTCTGTTGATGGTAACGGCTGAATCACTTTCTGTCCTGCCACTACATTTCATTCATAACTATTGAACAACAGTAGTAATATTAGTGACAAGACCAATTAAAACAAAACAAAAACAGTAATAATGTAAACGAAGAAAAGTAGAGTTTGGGGTCTTATCCAGAAGGAAAATCCTAACTGCTTCTGAACAAGTGTGGTCTGTTGCCCGGTATCTGCTTTCGACGGCATAAACAGCTCTACATCGCCAGTGTTGATATAAGAACTTTATCATAATGTATTACCTCCCCGACTTCCATCTGGATTAAACCGTCGTCCATGTAGTACCAGGAGCTATTCATGGTGTTGTTGGGATCTTGGGAAAGGAGAGTTTGCACTGCGCAATAGCTGTCTTCGCTATCCTTCAGTCTGTGAAACCAAAGGACATGTAAGATTACGTACGGAAGGCAAGATCTATTAACCTTTTTGCGACGAAAAGTACGAGGAAATATTCAGTTTGAAAGAGTTCGTTATCTGAAAGCACTTGTACCATTTGGATACTTTAGAAAAATAAGAAAAAGATTAAATGAGAAATCTGCCGCCTACAAGACGAGTACTGACCTGTGTAGAGCCATTTCAAAGTCATCCATCTCGAATTTGTTTTCAATGACAACATCCTGCAAATTGAACATTCATTTTGTGTTAATTTCGCTATAACATGCAACTGACG